GAGCTGAGTCGATATAGCCCTGTCCGTCTGTCCGTCCGTCCGTCCGTCCGTCCGTCCGTATGAGTGCGTCGATCTCAGAAGTTACAAGAGCTAGAGAGCTGAAATTTGGCATGCATACTCGTGTGTACCATACGCAGTACGAGTTTGCTTTATTTTTTCGATAAATCATCCGATAACTTTTTTATCGAGAATAATCGAAAAATTGATTTTGTTTTTTCAGCCTCATTAGAATACTATTAAACCTGGAGACTTCAAATTTGCGTTGTATATGAAGTTAATGGATACAAAGATTTTGTAATTTACAGATTTTGGATACCACGCCCCCTTCGCCCCCAATTTGTAAAAAACGCATTTCAAATACTAGGGACTTGTGCTTTGGAATGTACATACATTTGAACATTATGATTACCCTCTGAAAGTTTCATTAAGATCGTATGTCTACAAAAGAAATTATTCAACAAATAAATTCTCATAATATTGCCCACATTGCAGCGCAGCCCAAGCGCAGTCGCTGCTTACTGCGCAATTAGCAGAGCGCAGGCTTATGCGTGCGTGTGGATGCATGTGTATGTATGTGTGCATAAAAGAAGTGCAGAATGATTAGAATATCAGCTTRGAGGGTTYAGGGTATCTCCCAGTCGAGCAGTCTCGACTGGAGCCTTCTTACTTGTTTTTTATTGTTATGCCGCCGTGTCGCAGACGTGGGCTAGGGAGGCCAGGACAGTGTGAGGGAGGGGAGAGGGGTAGGGGCAGGCGTTGTAAAGCCGCATGTATGACAGCATGTGTGGCATACAATTACAAGAGTCGGGCCCCAAAAGGCTGGCAACATTTGTTACTCAAAAAAAAAAAAGGAGAAAAAAAAACAAAATGGCTGCACGACCATTTCCGCCGATTTCCAGTTGAAGTCCTTTGCAAGCTTCGCATCCTTGTGGCTGATGCGTGGCATGGATTATTATATTCGCATTTCTCATGCGCACGGCTTTAAACATTTTTTCCATTGAAATATTTATTTCAAAAACAAAAATGGCAGCACACGCACACACACAGACATAGAACAAAGTGTGAGGACTCTGATGTATTTTTTATGTCTTTGCTTCGTTTTTATTGCCTTTAAATTGTGCTCGTTACATTCCCTTTCTGTTTTAGGACAACAGCCACGCCCCTGCCACTCAGCTCCCACAAAATACTTGTAAGCTGACAACAGAACCCTAGCAGAAGGTGGATTACTTCACATCATTTATAGAATTGCGAATTCGCGGCCTCAAGATAAACATCAAATCTGGCTTTAAGTCACATTTCATCAAGTGAATATTTTAATTCGCTTCGGCTGCCTATGGTGTAGGTCTAAAGAATTAAGCCTTTCAATCTGTCATAAAAAAATACAATATGAAAGTAATATTGTTATTATGAGCTCATACATAATGATCATGATGTAGCATTAATATAAACTTAACATATGCGTAGCTAATCAATTCGTTGCAGTTCTACTTTGAAATAGGGAATTAGAGAAAAAGTCCAAACCGAAACCGAATGTTATTTTCGATGATCAAATTATTATTTATCTTCACTATATATGTTTGCAGATGTAAAATGATGTATTTTAAGTAGGCCTATGTTTGATAATATTGATTTAGCTCTGGGTACGCATACACAGTAACAGTACAGACTCACACATATACAGACCAATCACACAATACACCAAAAAACAGATATTTTACATACAGTAAAGGGCAGGCCGAGTACCACACAAAACACGCCAAGATGAACCGCATCGATACTACCATGGATGACATGGCCAACACCAAGTTCCTGACGGTCTACAGCAGTCTGATCAAACAGTTTACCGCGTCAACGGACTTTACCAACACCGAAGTTGTATGTCTTCTAATAATCTACTACAAGTTCGTGCAGGTCAATGGGCCAACCGCCAAGCAGATGAAAAAGAAGCAGATGTACAATTTATTTCTTGTGCTGTTTCGCATCTACGATATGACGATTATCGAGCGCATTCTGTTGAATATAACAGCTGATGTAGTGTACATTAGTCCAGAGGCCTGGATGAAGTTATTTTCCGTGTTCCTAAGCAAGAACTTGGATGAACGCATTCAGTTTGCCTACAAGGTGCTATACAATTGCCTGTTCAGTGAACTTTCTTATATATAGGATTATATTGTGTATTTGATAAGTCAGGTCTATACTACCTCCACGTCTGGCGTACTGAATCGTGAAACTGTCGGCATGGCAATCGACAATTTCTTTGTAGGCGAAGATGACGATGAAGTCAAGGAATTGCAGGCGGTACGTAGAAAACTAACATCTGAGCAAGCAGAATATACTATATGGCCAGATGCCTTACAGGATATGCTCGAGTATATATTCAACAAGTTTGATATGGACAAGGATGGTATTATCTCATATGAGGAATATTATGAGATTGTCAGTAATCAGCCGGTTCTCTTGGAGTTTCTCGGACAGATTTTTCCAGACCTGTCCGACATGACTGTTATTGCATATTGCACAAACATGTCCACGCTCTTTCCTGAAGAAGACTAATTATCTTAACTATTATCTTAATTTCTCAAATTTTAATGTACTTCCATGCATCTGGTATGTTTCAAGCTGCTCTACATAGATACTCCCTAATCGTACTCCCAAATCTCCTGATTGCAGCATATACGCTAGCACATAGATGTAGCCAATGTTGATTCTAAAGAATCGGGCAACTCTTAGGAATCAACAGAGACTAAAATTRTCCTAACTAGGATAGAGAATGTTAGGTAAGCAAAAATAAGAAGAACTTAAGCTGGTGTGTGATGATTGTCAATTTTAAATTTGATATATTGTAAAAATTAATAATGAATGTCAAAGAATTAAAAAAAGTGAATATTTAAATAGGTCTTTAAAAATTTTAATTCTCGACTGTTTTGGGTTGTCGTGTTTTTTTTTTTTTCGCTAATGAGAGAGCCGCAACGCAACATATGCGCAATCTATTCGTAATCTACTGCAGAAAGGACACAAGTGTTTTAAATGAGCTTCCCAGAAAGTATCCAAAGCAGAACAACAATGTAAAGTACTTTTCCATGAGGTATACACAAAAGTTAAAATTGCCTTTCGCGCTGTTGTCTTCATCCTTGTTTCTGCGAGTGCGGTTTTTGTTGTGTGTATGTGTGTGTATGTGTGTGTGTGCAGCTGTTTTTGTATAGTCTTGTTGCCGCGCTCATGTTCAACTCTTTCGCTAAATACCATAATGAGTCTGTGGGCTTATTTCTTTGTCTGTGTGTTGTCTCTCGGCAATGCGCGGGTAGCATTTGCTTTGCGGCTTTATAAAACAATTAAACGTGGCAACACATGTGGGCGTTACCCATAAAAAAAAGYATGACCGGAAACTTACTGCAACCGTAACGTAAGACAGCCAAAAAAATTTCTTTAATTAAATGCAAGAACCAAAAGGAAAAAAATAAATAAATAAAAATACAAATAAAATATTATTCATAACAAATGTTTGTGATATCATCGTTTTTCAAAAAATAAATCATTTAAATTGTTATTAATTTGCACGCAAATGGAGAACAGAACGGAGCAGAGGAGAATATGAAAGAGTTCGAGTAGAGATTTCACTCTCTCTATATATATAAGCCTGCAAGCACCGAGGCTTATCAGGGCCTGGGAAACTTGACTCGCTTTAAAGTGATGGTCAAGCTGTAAAAGAGAAAGTAAAAGCGCTAGTACCGCCCATTGAATGGGGGCGTGACAGGGCACAGTCAACGACTTGGCTCATTAGGGCAACGGCTGATGTTAAGAGTGACGTTAAAAGAAGAGCACAGGGCGTAGCTCGTATTCTTGTTGCTGTTGGCTCATAAAAGACCAAAGACCAAAGGCAAAAGGCAAAAGGCTCAGAGGAGCACATGAAATGCGCCCACGACGCGACGTGCGGCCGTCTGTGAATCTTGACGTGATGATTGCGAGGCCACGAGTTCGAGGACCACTGGACTCGACCCAGCCTCAGCTTCAGTTCATCACGAGTTTGGCACTTGCCGTCGAGGGTCGTTGTGGTTGCTGTTGTTGTTGTTGTTGATGTTGTTGTAGCTGTTGCCCCTTCTGCATCAACACGCTGCCTCCTGTTGCACTGCAGCCGAACAGGTCGTGGAGCATGTTTGTGCAGTTCCACCAACAGTTTTTTCGGTCTTGTGCCTCGCTTATGTGTGTGCAAAAATAAAACTGAAAACTTAAAACAAAAAACTCTTTTCCTCACATTTGTATTCTTAACACACACGCACTCGCGCTCCCAGCTGTTCATTTTTGACGAGCAACTTTTCCATTTGCTGCAGTTTATCACTTCATGATTATTTTGGAGTGTGCGTTAATAAATTAAGGCGGAGATTAACGTGAATTTGCAACTGTATTCCTTTAGCTGCAACTTCGAGTTTGACCTAGTTGAAGACTTGGCATATTCATTATTTAATCTATCATCATATTCAATCTGTTAATTTCCTTTTGCCATCCAATTATAGGCAAATAGCTAAAACGAATATTAATTATCGCATTCAATACGCAGCTCACTGCAGAAATCGATATATTGCATAAGCAAACAATTCAAACCATAAAAATAAAAACAAATTGCCTTTTTAGAATTCAAAGTGCTCTGAGGGAGTGGCCTAATGTGTTGATGCCTGTAGGAAACCAGCGAAGGGATATCCGATTTGCATGCGCAGAGTGGAGGCATTACTTCTAACGATGATAATAATAATCAGATTGCCATAACGTCATCCTGCACGAATACATAGAGAGTGAGCGAGACTGAATGGACGGACTGAACGGCGGAGAAGAAGGCGGAGAGAAAGCAAAAGTGTCTGGCGGACGGGGTAAGGTAAGCGACCTGGAACCATTTTGATTGTCACATTGTCATCATCTGCATATTAAGTACAAGTGATTACACTTTCACGTATGCCCGCATCTGAGTTGACTACTCACACACAGACAAGCTCACGTGCACACATGTATTTAGATATACCCCTGGGAGGGGGGCGTAGGACACTGTGCATATGTCTTCAAAGGCGGGGCAGAGCTGCCGGTGTCGTGATGTGTGCAGCATTGAAATTTCGGCATTTAAATCTAACCAAGCAAAAGGAGACTGAAAAGGAAGAGAAAAACGTGGCGCAGGCCCCACCAAACAGACAAAGGCAACTGCCAGCAAGTATCTGTAAGATACAATGCATACATATGTAAGTATCTTTTGTTAACGAGCACACCCATTGCCGTCGCCATCGCCGTCGCCGTCGCCGTCGACGTTGCCGTTGCCCATGAAGAGCTGTGCGGGCAAATGTAAATGCTTTGCGAGCTTTGAAATCAAATCAATGCGTTTGATAGCAAAAACAACATCGGGGCTGTCTCCGCCTGTCGGTCCACAACAAAAGCTGAGTGTGCGAGGATATGTGCAAGCGATGAGTGGGAAACGGAATTCATTTGTGGCACGTGAAGCCTTTTGATTTTCCGCTACTTTTTGTTAACATGTGACTACAAGTTGCACACTTCAGTTGAATATTGCAGATAGCGCAGACTAAGCACGCACAGCTCTGTGGATAAGCAGAAGGTAGAGGATTTGCTATCTGTCGGGGGCTCGATAAATGCTTTCACTTGAAACATGAAAGTCGTCTCTCAAGTCGAAGGCGAAGACTTGTTAGATTTAAGATATAAAGTTTCTATTGCATTGGCACACTAGTATAAAGACTGCAATTAATTAGTCAATCGCTTTAAATGCAAATTGCTTGGATATTTCCTGACCATTTAAAGCCATCTTTTAAGGAACGCTTCATTTGGGCAGAGCGCCCTTATGCAAACGCCTTGGCAATTGGCCTAAGCTAATCAGAGCTGTGGCACAGCAACTGCAACAACAACAACAGCAGCAATAACAACAACAACAACAACAACATACAAACATTGTTCTACATCTATGTCTCTCTGGCTTGCGTCTACTTTTCAGGATTCCATTTCGATAGCATCGACATTAAACTGCAAATCCGCAGCAGCAATTGCCGCATGTAATGCTGATGTTGGCATTTTACGGCTACTTCGAATGGTGCTGCTGCTGCTGCCTCTGCTGCTGCTATTGCTGCTGCTGCTGCTGCTGCCACTTCTGCTGCTATTGCTGCTGCTGCTGGTGTTGTCATGGGCTCATGTTCTATATGCTGCAGCGACACCTTATGTGGCAACAAGGCAGTGTCCCCCGTATGCACACCAGCTGCCCCTAGCACGGCTTGTCTGCCAACTGACTGCACTTAGGAGCGTTGCATCAGATGCCCCTTTTGCCTAGTGCGATCAGTTGCTGCTGCTGCCGTTGTTGCTGTTGTGTATTTTTGCATTGTCGTCATCGTCAGCGACAGCAGCAGCAGTACCAGCAGCAGCAACGGCGACGGCGGCAGCAGCAGCAACAATACCAATGGCAACCATAAAATCCTTTGCAATCAGTTGCATACAACAAACACGTTTGCTGCTGCTTCCTCTAAACCACAGAGAACGCATGTGTGTATGTGTATGCCGTGTACACACACACAGGCACACACACACATGCAAGTAATCGAAATCCGTTGCTGTTGTCATGTCTCTCTGCAACTGCTGCTGCTTGCATAAGAAGCGACTTGTGCCAGTGCAACGAGAGGCCACATCCTAAGTATATTTTACTGTCTCTGTAGCCGTCTGCTCTCTGTATATTGGTGCTACGCTCATTCCGATTTCCCCCATACTCAGTGCGTTGCATATTCCAATCTTGTCTGCTGTTGCGTACACAAAACAATTTTCAACCATACGCAATTGGCTTTGCTGCAATTTACAGCTACCTCGTGCTTACAAATAATTTCGCATATGCAATTATCAGACAAGAAAGATTGAGAGACACAAAGGGAGACAGGAAGCAGATGGAGAGAAATAATTAATGAACAATGAAGCCCTAGGGGGCGTAAGACTTGCCTAGCACATTGACAGGGTTTCTTGAATGCTTTTCAGTTTCAATCTTAAATTAACTTTCTTTTGTAGCAGCATATTAATTATTAAACGATAAATAACACTTGGAAGGCAATGCGAATCAAAACATAAATATATTATTTAATTAATTATGTAAATTACTCTGGCAGCTGTTAAGATAATAATACATTCAGCAACTCATTTGATATAGAACAATGTGTGATTTATATGTCATTTGATATAGAACAATGAGTGATTTATATGTCTTAGATTAGAGATTATTGAACTTCAGTTCAGCTCAAGCATAAAAAAGAAAAATAAATGATATTTTCATCTACATAAAAACAATATGCCGAATTTCAGTATAAAATTATCGAATTTTTAAACAAAAATATGATTTCTGATTTTTATTTACAAACACAATATACACACAAATATATTATATATGAACCAACAACCGACATTTCAATTAATTTAATACAAAGTATTTGAAACTGCTACAAAAAGTAGGTTAAAATAAACTCACTTTTGCACATTCCAAAAATCTGTAAAATAAACCAACAATCACTTTCGATATGTCTCCTCAAATGGCCGGATAAAGCCAGTGGAGAGCCCGAATAAACGGTTGCCCATAGATTGTCAAATTCAATGCCATAAAAGAACCAGCAACGGGCAAACTTTTTGAATATTTAGGTAAAATATATGTAGCACAAAATATAGAAGAGTGTTAAAAAAAATATGGAGAAGAAGCACAGAAAATGTGGGACGCACACATACACACACATATACACGCAAAATGCTATCGGCGCGCATTCCCGATGCTCGCTTTTGTGAAAATG